TTCGAAAGTACTTATATCTTTTCGATCTATTTCTAAGCGCAATTTAGGAATACAAACAGTTTCTCAAACTAACAATTTACCCAGATTCGTGCTTGGTACCTCTTGCCAAAAGAACAATTCGGAAACGAACAACAACCACTCAACAATACGATCGGTAATGACACAAATTCAAACAGATTTCGAAATGATCAAAGTGAATGAAAGGAACAATACAACCGTGGGGGAAGGCTGTGATTCAGGACGCCGAAGAGCCTTTCCAAGTCGTGACCCTAATCGATCTCCTGCAAGACACGAAATAGGTTGTTAAGTTTGATTGCAATGAGATGTAATCGTCGGATGTTCTTCAGTCAGATTACGAGCATTGTTTCGAGGTGATAAAATTTAGATTTCAAGCACAGCCACCTATGGTTGGATTCGTCTTTGAAAGAGGAAGAGTTTGATATATGGCTCGACAAATAATTCAAAGTTTAGCACAACCAAAACAGTCAAATACTGATGATATGTCAAACTGAACGAAACTAGAAGTTAGGAACGAAATTAAAACCGAAGCGAGAAGCAAGGAGCGATCTCACCGGGGAATTTCAGCCGTAGGATCGAGCATCTCTGATACCAAAATGATATACGCACAGAGGAGGATGGAAGCAAGTCTGATTGATGCACGCACAGAGGAGGATGGAAGCAAGTCTGATCGCAATCACCGGCTCGCATATAGCGGCACTCGAACTCACGAACAAACGGTGGTAATCGAAGGGGATTTATGGGAAACTCTCTCAATCACTGGCTCACTCAAGTGGCACTCGAATTCAAGAGAGAATCAGATGATGGATGGCGGAAACGAAGGGGAAGATAGCGAGTATGGATTCAGACAAACCGAAGGGTGAGCCGGACACACCGAGCTCGGGAATTTCGGACAAACCGAAAGAGAGAAAGAGATTGTCGGACAAACCAACAAAGATAGGGAGAGAGTCTTGGCTCAATCTCAATTCAAAAATACTTTAATCAAAAGGATGAAATCTTATTACAAAAGAGTTCTAGGTGGTTTATATAGAGAAAACAACAATAAATGCAAGTCTTCATGCAAGAGAAGGAGCCTAATTGTCATTTAATAAGGTGGTTAGGAAGAAAAGAGCTGTTGGAATTTAATGGTCTAATGGGCTGGGCCTTGATTTGTTCTTGGGCTGAAATGGACAGCTCATGGGCTGGCTTGAAGTCATCTTTGAGCCCAATAGCTTTCAGCCATGATGGAGGAGACGTTCCGGGTTAAGTCTTGGCCGAAAAGGGAGGTGTTCGCGTCGTGATCCCGGACTCCGTGAAGAACATGAGTGACGGCCTTTGTTAACGTGATAAGGAGGGCTCGAGCTCTAACACGAGTGAGAGGAGGCTCGGTTCTATGGCTTGCTCGGGGAGCCTTCGCGTTGTGCACGTCAAATCTCGTTCCCGCGGCTTCGAATGATCTTGTGACGTTATGATCATCCGACAAGAGTCTTGACGCCTGATGGGTCAAGTCTTGAACATCTTCTAGAGCTCCTTCCGTTAAGCTCCCGTCCTCGTCCAAGTTGCTAGCTCCAATGTCCTCATCAATATGGATTTATTGTGATCGCGTTATGTGTGATTATCGATATGTGTATATATATATATATAATGTGTGAAAATATATGATAGGTATAGAGATAGTAATTGATATTTTTCTCTATGAGAACGTAATATCTAGGGTCCACCCTGGTTACTCACTGAGCATATGTGTTCAACCCTCTATTGTTGATATTTTCAGATACCGAGGAGCACGAGTAGTGTATGGACGACATCCATCGAGTAGCAGCATCACGTACGGTGTTTGGATTTGGTGTGTGTAAAAATAAGGGATCATATCCCAGGATTTCGGTGTGATGTTTTACTATTTTGGACATGTGATTGATTTTACATTAAACTATATATTTTCCGCTATGAATTCTTTAAAAATGTGATATAAGAATATCTCATGTTTTGTTTTATGTGTTTTATTGGAATGTCCATGTGGCGCACTTGTATTCATGAGATACGAGTTATGGATGTCATATCTATACATAATTGCCCATCTTATACTTCAAAATCCTCCGTCTGAACCCAAAATTTGGATTTCTCCATATATTATATCCGATCTCATCTTATTAGATGTTTAGGTAGGCGATCTGTTGGTCGAATCGGGTATCAGAATTTTGAATTCTTTTGCCCTACTCTCTACTACCGATAATGTTTCAGATTCTGTCTCACTAACCCTTTCCTTGCAACAACATTCTACTGGATATAATCACGGTTATGATCGTGAGAATGATGATTAATTAAGACAAGTATGAGACATGATGGATGATGATGGATGATGAGCATGTGTATTAGATGTAGATCACAGTTATAGGTACTTATTTGGAATAATGGACTAGATGGCTTGTATGAAATTATCGCATGGACTCGATCTAGGACTTGAATCTCATGTAATGGTTCGTTTTTGGATCCTCAAACTTGAGATATCCATGGTATCCGATATAGGTAGTGGTGTGTTTTGAATACACCAAACGTCGTTTTTAATTGAATGATTATGATTCTCAAAAATCTATGGCATCAAATCCAAAATTTAAAGACAAAATTTTAGTTAAAACACAATATTTATTATATATAAATTATACTTAAAACGTACAAATTATAATCAATATAAAAGAAACAGAAATATAAAAATCTTATTATATAAAAAACTTAACAAATACAAACAAAAAAATCATAAAACGATATATTTATATATTTTATATAATATAGGACTAAAATTATAATTTAATTACTATTGGGATATCTAAAGGTAATTATCCATTTTATACTTCAAAATCCGAATATAAAACCCAAATTCGGAGTTCTCCACATATTATACCCCATCTCATTTCATTCTCATTAGATGTTTAAATACCCGATCTGTTGGTCGAATCAAGTATTAGAATTTCGATTTTTTTTTCTTATTCTCTGCTACTGATAATATTTCAGATTGTGCCTCACTAACCCCTTCTTTGAACAAACATTCTACTTGATATGAAACCAATTTTGCTTTGCCCCTATCCTCACCCTTGTTACCCTTTCCCAACCTACGTCAGAGGATAACGTTCGACCACAAAGCAACCAAAACAACCCATCTCAATACCATTACTGTTCTTATGTTTCACATAATTCTCCGCCACCTTTTATATCCATCACCAACCATTCTTTGGGCATTACCCATCACCAACGTATCTCTCATACCCAAGCTGCTAAATTTACACGTTGGAGAGAGATGCTGTAAAATTGGAACCATATGACAAAAACATGGTCCGCATGTTCTCTGTCACAGGAGAAACACCCAGTTTGGTGTTTGGTGTAAATGGGTGTTCGAAGTGAAAGTGAAGTATAACCCTCACATTCAATAGAATGATATGAAAAATGGGGTTTTTGGAGGTTTAGAAATCTTTGGCTGACTTGGGGTTAATGTATAAAGAAAACATATTATGAAATATCTGTTTTTGTTGAAACCAACCTAATCACATATTATAAGGAGGCAAATGATAAAAGAAGCTTCATTGGATCGAATAATTTGAAGAGCCATGTTATTAGTACTGTACTGCTGTGAGAATACATAATCAAACAACAGCTTCCGGTGGAAACGTTTGCCAAACCTCAAGAACATGCTCTGGATATTTATCGACAAACCTTTTCACGAAAATCTCATCCCTTTCTAGAAGGGCACGGGCATAAGTAGCGAAACTAGGGCATAAAAAGCCCTTTGAGACCAAAAGGGCAATGACCGAACATCTAGGGACGATTCTCCCCTCCACACTCAAGAGCATGACAACTGGGTACTTGACAACATCTGAAGAGCTGAAACCAAATGTATTCAAAAGTACATCCATCACCTTGTTTATCTTCCCCTCTGATATACGCATAATGGAAGGATTTTTCTTGAAAGCCACAACAAAGTCTTCATTCGACCAACCCCATTTTCTGTAAAGCTCAATTTTCCGATCCCAAATTGATCTATTGATCTGACATATCGCCCTGATAGCAGAGACAATCATGGGGCTCGAAGGTTCAAACCCCAAATTCATTGCTTTCTTCAGAGATTCCTCGAGGTTAGAATTAGAAGACTTGCCAAGCACACGTGGAGAATGCTCCATTAATTTGGCGATGGAAGAACAGGGGAGACCGGATTCTTTGAGGAAAGAAACTTTAACAGCCAAATTCTTTTGAACGTCCATGTACAAGAGAGCTGACCACCGTCTAACGCTTTTAGCAGCTAACTCATCCCGGCCAAGAATAGATTTCATGAGCTGGTAGTTTGGCATGAGTCTATTCCTCAAACTGTAGTGTAACATTTTAGGATTTGCAGCGACAGCCCTCGCAACATCATCATTTGAGCCCAGAATAGACTTCAAAAACGCAAGCTTTGGAGAAAGTGTCTCCGCAGTTATAAAATTTGATGGAGAACACTTGTAAACTCTAGTTATTTGGTCAGCCGTGAATCCATACTCATTCAGCAAACAACGGACTTTATGGAATTTCACCTCGTCCTGGTTGTGCCCATTACCAGTTTCCACATCTTCAACAGATGAAAAGGCCCTTACATTCAGAAAACCCCAAACCCGAAAAGCAATACCCAAATCAGCAGCCAAATCTCCCCCGTGGAGAGAAGAATCAAGAACCCTCTTCAGGTAAGATAAACCCGCCATGAAAGAGAAATAGAGAATCTGACCTGAGGGGGAAAACGCGACCTTTTCCCCGATTCTTCGAGAGAGCTAACCTCAAATTGTGATGGAGAAGTTACAAATAAGCTCGGATTCAGAAGGTATAATGAATTCTCAGGAACTGGCCATGTATCAGAAGCTATTTAGGGTTTCTCCTGTGGCATCGGCGAGGGAAAACTTCACATAGGCATTTCCAGTCGGAGCAATTTCTTGCATACCCCAATTAAACAAAGTCAAGTTTGCCATTGGTTTAAAATGAAAAGACACTCTTATCCTTAATGAATTATTTGTTTTAAAATGAAAAGACACTGATTATTTGTTTTAGGTAAAAAATGAACTTAAAATGGCGAGTCTAATAAAATTATTTTCAAAAGTAAAAATATATCATTATAATTTTAAATTTATAAAATATATTATTATAATTCTTAAACTAATTTTTTAATCAACATCGTCAAATTTTTTTCTAATATCATCTAACAAATTTAAAAATTATAATAATACATTTTATAACTTTAGAAATTATAATGATATATTTTATAAATTTAGAAATAAATTTGTTTAGCAAAAAATTTAATAATTTGTTTTTCATTATTTTACAAGTTTAAGTTTATTTTATTAATTTTATGTTATGTTTTATTTTCCAAAATCGGACTTTTTTGCAAAGATATTATTACATACGTTATTTTTAATTGTTTTTTCTTTTAAATCGTTTTATTATTTTCAACTACCCCTTTCGACAATTTGATCTTATACTTGTCCAATTTCGACGATTGGATCACACCTCCAGAAAATGAATTTTATTTTATTTTTTAACCGAAAACCCAATCTAAAGCCAACCGAATAAAATCTGAATTGAATCGTAAATTAATATAAAAATTGAATTCACACAATTGAACCATAAAATAAAGACACCCCAAGGCCAATCCACACAACATTCCCGGAGGTGCCGGGGAAGGGTGAATTGTAGGTGAATCTTGTTGGATTTGAGTTTATTTGATAGAATCAAAACGGGCCTAGCCCGTGAGAAGCCCGGTCCGTATAAATTTAAATCTGCAGAATATTAAGAGAATATTCTTATTTGAATTTGAAATTCAAATTCAAATTGAATTCAAATCCGCAGAAAATCTATCAAATATGATTGAGATAAGATTGAGATAATATCAAAATAAAATCAAATTTGAATTTTGAAATTCAAATTGATTTGTTTTGAGATTCTCCCCTCTACTATAAATAGGGGTCTTGGGTTAGCTCATAAAAAACACAGAAAAGAAACAAGCATTCTAGAGAAAAAGAGTATTCACATATTTGCTCATATCTCTCTCTGAGTTCGCTAGGTATTTGGAAAGCTTCTTCCAAATACGCGGTCGTTGTATCCTGGGAGTTCACCGTGCTCCAATAGCCTCGAAGCTTTAGAGGTGGCACGGAAATCGAACTTAAGAAAACTGTGTTTCACAGGCCTCGACAAAACAATCTTTTAATTTCAGGTACTTATCTGGAATCGCTCGAATCGCCGGAGTTTTGCCGTCGTCAACAACCGCCGTCGCCAACAGTCTTAAGTTCGAAATGGTTAACACGAGATAAACTTCTCGGGTAAGTGCCTAAATCTCCTTTTAATTTTGGTATAAAATCTCACACGAATTTGGATCTAAAAACAACTAGGTTAAAAAAAAAATTGTTAAGAAAAAAAAAACCAAATAGTTTTTTTGTGAAGCCCAAATTGAGTTGAAGGCCCAAATTTAAACTTAAAGCCCAAATTCAAAAAGATTAATTGAAAAGTCCAAAAGAGTAAGCCCAAATTGAAAAGTTTAGTCTTGGCCCAATTTGAAGAGATTAATCTAAAAGCCCATAAGAGAAAGCCCAATATATTTAAAAGTGTTTTGTGAGAAGGAAAAAAAAAGGAATATTATTATTTATCTTTTTTGGAAGAAAAGAAAAGGTTAAACAAAATCGGAAGTAACTTTTCCTGTAAATTGGGGAAGCAAGCTTTGTCTTAGCGGGCCGGGTTTGAAGAGGAAGCCCTTTATACCCTCCTCATAGTAAGGACGTGGGAATCGGGGTGAACCCTCCGGCTATCACTGGAAGCGAGCAAAACCAATTTATAAGTTAAGTGAAACTCGGTTTAGTTTATAAGCTTTGTGAAAACTAACAATGATTGGATTTATTCAACAGATCATTGATAATCCAAAAAATCCCATGGATTCAAATACTGCTCCAGGGAATGAGATTCCTGCTATGGATATCGATGAGAATCCTCATATAGCGGAGGTTACGAACCCCGTTAATCATGATGTTGCTGGCACAGATATGAATAATCAAGTGCCAAACGTTGCGAACGTTGTCC